CCCCCCCCCCCCCCCCCCCCCCCGTTATTTTGCTGCAGCCGGACTGTGGCAAGTTGCTAAATTAGAGTAATCCCCTACCCTCACTCCTTTCCCCCTTAACATGATGTCCTATGCCTGACCTTCAGGTTCTCTATATGCCACCAGAAATGGTATGCCTTTTATGAAACGAATGAATATAGTCTATTATTTAGACTATATTCTAAATAATAATTGAAGCCAACATCTGTAGACATAGAGTCTAACTATAAATGTAATAACAATGAAAACTTGCTCATAGATGATGTATTATTGATATTGGGAACTGTTAACATTGGTTTTCTCCACAAAAGAGAGATTTTGGGAACTATATAAGAGCAATATAAATATATAGGGGGAAAATATTAACAAAAACAGTCACAAAGAGCTGGAAAGAAACGTGAGTAATATGAAAAGACAAGAAAAGAAAGGACCACAAACAATCCAGGACAAGTCAACATTAGAAGAGGTAACATCTGCAGCAGAAGGAATGTCAGATAAAGATTTCAGGATATACATGGTTCAGATGATCTGGAGTCTTAAGGAAGACATTATACAGCAAATGCAGACAATGAAAGTTCACTTTGACAATGAATTACATAAACAAATCCAAGAAGCAAAAGATCAACTCTACAGGGAGATAGAGGTTATACCAAAAAAAAAAAAAAAAAAACAGAAATCCTGGAAATGAAGAAAATTATAAACCAAATAAAAACTCAAATGAGAGTACCATCAGTAGAGTAGACCAATTAGAAGTCAGAACATCAGACAACAAAGACAAAATATATCATCTTGAAAAGAGCCTAAACAACTCAGAAAAGCTGATAAGAAACCATGAGCAAAACATCCAAGAAATCTGGGATACCATAAAAAGACCAAATTTAAGAGTTATTGGGATAGAGGAAGGTATAGAGGTCCAAACCAAAGGAATAAACAATCTGTTAAATGAAATGATTTTAGAAAACGTTCCAGACATGAAGAATGAAACAGAAATCCAAATCCTAGAAGCCTACAGGACACCGAATGTACAAAACCACAAGAGACCCTGCCAAGACACATTATAATGAAAATGTCCAACACACAGAACAAGGAGATAATTTTAAAAGCTACAAGAGAAAGGAGGCAGATTACATTTAGGTTAATGGCTGATTTTTCATCACAGATGCTGAAAGATAATGGGTTCCAACCAAGAATCTGGTATCCAGCAAAACTAAGCTTCAGGTTTGACAATGAAATAAAAACCTTCCACGATAAACAAAAGTTAAAAGAATTTGCAGCTAGAAAACTGGCTCTGCAAAGCATCTTGGGCAAAATATTACACGAAAAGGAAATGAAAAACAACAACAAAAATCAACAGTTGGAAGTAGTACAGTAAGGAGAAAAACTAATCAAAAAGGAAAAACAAATCAAGTTAAATAACAAAAATAAACAAACATGGCAGGAAGTACAAATCATATCTCAATAGTAACCCTAAATATTAATGGCTTAAACTCACCAATCAAAAGACATAGGCTAGTAGACTGGATTTTAAAAAAAAGATCCAACAATATGCTCAGCAAAGAATATCAAGCTGGGCATGATGCACGCCTGTAATCCTAGTAATTTGGGAGGCCACAGCAGGAAGACTGAAAGTTCAAGGCCGGCCTCAGGAATTTAGGGAGATCCTAAGCAATTCAGTGAGAACCTGTCTCAAAATGAAAAATCAACAGAGCTGGTGATATATAGCTCAGTGACAAAGTGCCCTGGGTTCAGTCCCCAGTATCAAAGGAAAAAAAAAAGCAAGCCAGGCATGGTGGAGCACATCTGCAATCTCAGCAGCTCAGGGAGGCTGAGGCAGGAGGATCACAAATTCAAGGATAGCCTCAGCAACTTGGCAAGACCCTGTCTCAAAGTAAAAAAAAAAAGGGCTGGGGATGTGACTCAGTGGTTAAAAACCCTTGGGTTCAGTCCCCTCCTAAAAAAGTTCTCTAAACAAAAAGTAAAAACAATGAAACAGTAATATGCCTTAATACAAAAGATTTGTTTTTTCCCTTTGAATTTTCTAAATTATGTTTAATATTTGAAGCAAAAATTCTAACAGTGATATTATTACTGTAGAAGAAATATATAAAACAATTGTAATTTGAGGAGGTACAGAAATGTAAGAAAGGTGGTAGGCTTCTCCACTTACCCTAATAAAATGACACTAGCACCAAATTGTGATAAAAGATGTATAATAAATAGAACAGCCAGAAAAAAAGTTGCAGAAAGCACTACAGATAAATCAAAATGAAATTATAAACGAATCTGTTCTAGTGACCATTTTACTTGTAACTTTGTAATGAATAAACAAAAGAATTCCACTGTGCACAGGTTAGGTCAATAGCAGTTAAATCAATGAAGTCACAGTGAGCAGATTATCATTTAGTGACCAAATTTAGCCTATGATAAACTTTATAAATTTCAAGTGAACAATTATTTTCTCTAACAAATATTTTAATAAATGCTGTTTCTTACAACAAATAACACATGTTCTGTGCTACCTTGAGATGAGGGTTACATTTCACAGAAAATAAAACTTCTAGGGCTGGGGTTGTGGCTCAGTGGTAGAGCACTTGCCTCAATATGTGTAAGGAACTGGGTTCAATTCTTAGCCACCTATATAAAAAATAACTTCTGAAAAGCAGAATATTGGAGATAAGCTTCATGCCAATAACTAATAAGAAATTAATTTTTTGATGAGATTTAGAATATACACAGCTGACACCAAAACTAACCAGTATCCTTGACCCCTAGTAGCCAATATGGTAATTGACAAATATACTTTAATAGTCTTTAACAAAATTATGACTAAACCATTAAGACCAATATTTTATTTTAAAAAAAATTTTTATAGTTTTAAGTAGACAGCATGCCTTTATTTGCTCTGTGTGTATTTATTTATTTTTTTAATGCTGTGCTAAGGATCCAACCCAGTGCCTCACACATGCTAGGCAAGCATTCTGCCACTGAGCTACAGCCCCAGCCCAAGACCAATATTTTAAACACAATTGTCAATAGTATTTTCTTACTGATTTCTCATCAAGAATGCCATTGTACCTCCATTGTACCTATTGACTTAATTTTTATTATCACCAAGGATGAATTAAAAGTATTTGGGGATAAATAATTTTATGGTTGGCATGTTCTATAGGATTTTTTTAAAATGACATATCTCTCCCCATACATCTACTTTTAAAAAGTTTATTATATATTTATTTATTTTTTAAAAATAGTGCTGAGAATCAAACCCAGTGCCTCTTAAGTGCTAGTCAAGCATTCTACCACTGAGCTACAACCCCAACCCCAGCTGTATAGGATTTTAATGAAGGAACAGGAACTATTTTTTGCACATTTCTCCCTATATGCTCCTTACTGTGCTACAGACTCTAAACATACTTGCACTGCAAATCAGAAGTAGCTGGTATTTTAATAATTAAGCAAAATAAAAATAACTGGTTTTATTCCCACTTTATGTGGAGAAACAGGCTCAGAGATGCTCAGTAATAAGTCCTAAAAATCACAGGTAAGCGGCAGAGCCAGGATTCCAACACACTCTACTTCCAGATACCATGCTGCTATAATCTACTAACTAGATTTCAGTTTCTTATTTATAAAACAAGAATAACAACTGTCTAAGGGCACATCAAAATGCCCTCCCAGATCCTACTAGCTAGCTACTAAGTCTCTCCATCCTCAGAAACCACAAAGTCCTCAAAATTCTCATCCCTTTCAGTATTTATTAGATGTGATTATATTTTCTCCAACTAAACTTAAAATCCGAGTCCACTTCTGATTCATTCTAGTAGTGATCTTCATTGTCTTCATATAACAAGATGCTTAGCTGCTGAGTAAGGTACAGAATATGATTAAAATTTATAAATTATACCAGAACCAAATTTTATACAAAAAAATATTCCATGAAGAAAATAGGGTGGTGGTGGGTATAGAGCTTAAGAAATAATGCATGTAAATAATATAGATATAGACCTCTTAAGAAAATTAAATATACACGAAGTAGGGAATGATTATTTTACATAAGAATTTTTTCTCATAACAGTCTTTTTAAGAAAGAGTTCCTTTAAATATGAAATCCTCTATTAGAATGCATTTAAATGCATTAGTATTTATTTATTTATTCTTTGGTACCAGGAATTGAACTCAGAGGTGCTTAACCACTAAGCCACATCCCCAGTCCTTTTTATGTATTTTGAGACAGGGCTTCACTAAGTTGCTAAAACTGGCTTTGCACTTGCAATCCTCCTGCCTTAGCTTCCCAAGCCACTGGGATTATAGGCACTTACCACCACACCTGGCTTTTAGTATTTAAATATACAAAGTGAATGTGTAGTCTTTAAAAATACATCACATAAAAATTTCCATATGCCTAGAATTCTGCCATTGAACTCAAAAGAAAACATGTTTAAAAAAATAAAAATTCTTAATGCTTAAAAAAAGGTTTAAGTTCCTGAGGGCAGGAACCATGATCATCTTGCTCACTGGCTCTCTCTCTAGACTCTAGCATAATGCTCCGTAGTCTCATCTACCCAACAAACACTCTAATACTGACTCAACCAGGAGGACATAGAACCCAGTTCAAATCTGTAATTAGTTAAAAATTCTCCAATGCCTGATGAGGCTCTCTGGTTTATGAGGATTGGATCCTCACTGTTCTGACAATATTCTTGCCATGTACTCTATTCCACGAAGTATATGTAAATAACCAATGGTTAAAAGCTTTAACCTGAAACTTAAAATTTTAAAAATATTTAAGTTGTAAATTACATGTAGATCAACCAAAATTATTTTTCAATGTTGATTTCCTGGTTTTGATAATTGTTCTTTGGTTCTGTAGGATGTGGTTAATTAGGATGAAGAACATGTGAAAACTATATTAATTTTGCAACTTTTTTAAAGTATACATTTCAAAATTAATTTTAAAATTAGAAATTTTTAAATTAGAAATACTTACTGCACCAAGTGAAGGTCCATATCTTCCTGTGGCAACTTTACACATATAACTGACAAAGTTGGAAATAACACCTGAGAAACAAGTCATAGTTCAACAGTTTAAGTAAGGTTTAAAAATGACTTCTATTTTTTATCTCTACCGTCCACAGATTAATAGTGTCAGGTTTGTACATGTATCACTCCAAGGGTGCCAGCACGAATACTTAATCTGCCAATAACTTCAAACAGTTTTAGGGAAAGAAAAATCTGACCCACATCATGACTTGCCATTGACTTTACCTCTCAGTTACCATTTTCCTCATATATAATTTAAAGAAAAGGAGGCTAGTTCTCAAACTCACCAACTATCTCAGAACCCCCTGGGCAGACATGCTGAATCAGAATCTCTGGTGGGACACTAAACTAAATGATCCATTAGGTTCCTTTTGCTTCAATGACAGTTGAGTTCAGTGTGGCTCATTTTAAAAAACAACTTCCTATGGAACAGGAATTAATGGCATCTGAAACATCCTTTGTACAACAACTACCCCCATAACTAGTACTTGGGGAAAGAATTATATACTACCTTAGAGGCCAAAAAAAAAGAGAAAAAATGATCAGCTTCTACTTTTGATGGACTGGACACATATACCTGAGTGTTCAATTGATATTAATTTAGGAGTCACTTTGGATCATGAGTAGATGCTTTTATTTAATCTTTTCTACAAGGCCATGTCTTGAAAAGATAAGTATCATTACCCCCAGAAAGGCATAGTCATTTCTGCCAAATCACACAGCTGGTAGCAGAAATGGGCTCTGAACCTAGGTCTTCTGTCTCAAAACTCAGTGCTTTTTTCACTACAGCACAATTGGCAGATATAAAATTTTTAAATGCTGGGACTTTAGAAATGAGTTTTTATGTTTTACTTATATAAATTTTGCAAACAGGTGAGCAAAAGTTGATCAATTAACCACTTAGCAGCAATTAGTAAACTGGAATCACATGCTACCATTTCCTAATTAAAATATTTTAGAAATGATGCCATCTCCAGAACCACAACTAGGAAGTTTTGTCCTACATATAGTCTGGCAAAAAAACACACTCACTCCTCTTGGCAATCAATAACATTGGATCACTCTGATAAAGCTTTATGCAAACTGAGCACAATGGGGGAAGTAAGCCTGCTTAAGATTATTTAACACAAACTCAGATGACTAAGACAGCTGGAAAGCCTAGCCTGAGCTGGGAAGGAAAAAAAAAAATCAAGGCCTGGTTAAGATAAAAATGACATGTAAAGGTCCTGAGATTAAAATTCATTACCTGCAGATAGGTACACTGCCATGAACTGCTCTTGACCCAGAATATTCACTATGCTGGAAGAAAAGCTCCACAAAACATACATATTTGCTGCCATGTGAAATAAGGAGAAATGACTGAATGTTGACAACAACATTGGAGAACAAAGGACCTCTACAAGAGAAAGAAAAAACACAGTCTGGTAATTGAAGAACACAAAGCCAGTAAAAATTATCTAGTTTAGAGTTCTCAGTATTATCAAATAAACACAGGAAGCAAAAACAGAGCCAGTTAGTCTTAATAAGATGGTTTAAGACAGTACTTTTCAAAGTGATAAAAAGCTATCTTAATCTCTTTTCTACTTAGTAAGCAATCAATAAAAATTCTCAGTTCAATGGAGGCAAAAGTTACAAATAGAAGGAGAAAATTATTTTAATTTTAGATATAAACTTGCAGTGATCATAGATCTTAATTCATTAAAAAATATTCACTGTCTATGTTTTAAGCACCTGGGATTCAGCAATGAAAGAGACAAGGTCTTTGTGCTCTAGAAGCTGATAGTCTACCCTCCAGATTTTGTTTATAACCGTTGACAGTATCTCATTTTTTTTTGTAGGATTTCAATAAACAAAGCATATTTATTTCATATTATCTCTACCTCAAAATCACAAGTTAGACTTACTTGAGGCCGGATTGGATGTGAAGTATCTCATCATTGTCCGCTGCAGAGAAGGTACTCTCCACAAACAGAATACAAGGACATTTGCAGCTATAATACCTGCAAAACAAATACAATTTAAGGAGGTTAAAAATAAGAGGAAAGAGGCCAGGTGTGACGGCACATGCCAGTAATCCCAGCGAATCAGGAAGCCAAGGCAGGAGGATCACAAGTTCAAGGCCAGCCTCAGCAAGTTAGCAAGGCCCTAAGCAACTCGGCAAGACCCTGTCTCAAAAAATAAGAAGGGTTAGGGATGTGACTCAGTTGTTAAGAGCCCCTAGGTTCAATCCCTGGCACCAAAAATAAATAAAGAGGAAAGAAAATCAGATCTAAAGTTCACCCGAATACAGTGAGCTAAGGAAAGCAAATGAAATCAATGTCTATAAAGTATCCTGGTTAAGTCAGAGATTCCTGAAAAACTGCAAATGCTCTAGGAGCTAACTTCCTTCACCTAAATCCATATTTCACTTCTTCACAACAGTTTACTTTTTTCAATAAATAATGAGATCTATAATTATTGTTTGATAATGGACAATTCAGAGACAAGTAATGTACAGAATTAGGTTATCTGGCCAAGAGTAGAAAAGCTAACATCTCATCTTTTCCCATAGGGATGGCATACTTCTTAAACTTATGGTAAAAATTCAGGGATAAAAAAAGAAAAAGAGAATTCAGGGATAATCTAGAAGAATTTTGCGACTGCTTATTTGCAATATTTACATATGGAAACTTGGCTGACTTTTTGTGCAAGAACTTACAATGTTAGATCAATAAATTGAGTAGGTTTAACTATAAAATTAATAATTAGTCATACTTAGGGTCAAAATCAAGTTATTCTTGAAAACTATACACTTTAAAAAATGCATTTATTTTTTAAATTGCCACACTCCTTGCACAAAGTATACTATCATCTACTTGTTGATTTAGTTAAAGGACTTAAACACTGCTCATTCCTCTAATCTCTAGGCAACAGGCAAGTAGCACTTCAGCTTCTTCAATGGTAAGGACTACAGCAACATTCTGATAAGAAATTTTCTTTAAAAGATACTCTTTTTAGGGTCCTTGCCAGCAGCTATATTTTGGAGTCACTGTTGGCTTCCACACTTGCTCATTCTGTGAGGCTCTGGGTTACCACCTGGTATTATGGTTTCTGTTCTCCCTCTTGAGTTAGGTAGAAAGGAAGATATCATTTTTCTTTTCTTTTTTTTTTTTGGTGGTGCTGGGGATTGAACCCAGGGCCTTGTGCATGCAAGGCAAACACTCTACCAACTGAGCTATATCCCCAGCCCCATTTTTAATATATTTTAAGACATCATTTACCATGTAAATATCTGAAAGCAGAACGTATCTTACAACTGGTGGTCCATTATAGTTTAATTAGTTGCATTTTTTTTTCTCTGACCAATTATTGATGAGAAAATTGAGATTTTAAAACATACAAGTTGCCTGAAAGCCAAAGTCAGTGGCCAAGCTAAAATTCCTAATCTAGTACCCTTTCCACTTTCCATTGTGATTTATTTATTTCAATCTTGGCCACCAGAGGGCTTCTGACACCAGACAAAGGGTCCTCAAGGTGGGTAATACATGGCCTGGTTCCCAGAATCAGGTAAGCACCAGAGATGTGTGGTTAAGGCAGGATCTACTGAGGGCACATTGGCTAAGAGTTAGGGAATCCAGCAGAACTAACTCTGGCCTACTTACACTATAAATTGGGCAAGGGGCCTAACCTCTGAGGCTGTTTCCTATTCTGTAAGATGAGAACAGTAAAATCTACCTTAAAAGGTTAGATTATGATAAAATGAGAAAGTATGATTAAATATAACAGTCACACAGTGACAACGCAATAAATGGAAAATACAGTAGAAAGAGAATGGCCTTTGCAGGTCTGAATCCTAGGTATGCCATTTACTATCTATTGACTGGTGGCATTTTCATCCCTTTCACTTTAGTCCCTCATCTGTAAAAAGAAACTAATACACCCTACCTCATAAAGGCTGTAGTGAGGACCATAGTTCAGTGGTAACTCACTCGCCTAGCATGCACAAGGCTCTGGGTTCAATTCCCAGCAGGAAGACTATAGTAAGGCTGAAATAAGCTACTGAGCATAGCATTAAATGCCCAGGGAGCAATGGTTCCTTCCCCTTCATCCTATTTTGAGAAACAGGACAGTTTAAAGTCTCTGTGTCTCCGCTTAGAAGGAGTATTATCTGCTTCCTCCTGACTCAGTAACTTCTTGGACAAGCTATGCACGACTGATTCAGGAAGGTTGCTACTGTCCCAGAGTCTACCCTTACCAAGAGTGATGTATTCAATTATATCATATATATCAGTGAAAACAGCCAAGTATTTTTTCTAAAAATTCTCTCCTTCATAAGTTATAAAAAATTGTGGCAAAAAACTGTCAGAATCAACATTTCAGAACTCTGAAAACTAACCAAAGGCTTGCAGCAAACCCAGGGGCCATTTATTTAAGAAAAAAAAAATGACTGATTCTCAGAACTAGCTTTGCAGCAATTTGCCTAGTCCCACCTCCGGCTTTTTAGCTACAGAAAGCCTTGAAAACAACCCACATTCCCAGTACAGCCCAACAAACACAAAAGGAAGCTGAGAGACCAAGCTGGAGCTCTTTCCAAGCCTTAATCCCAAAGAATAATCATAATTTGACCTGCCTGCTGATTTCCTGGAAGACCCTACTTTCAAGGCTGTCTGACTTTAAAAATGAATGGAACTGTCCAAGTGCAAACCTCCTTTTCCCAGAGGGCATTTATCAAAAATAATTACATGTAAATGATTTAAGTTAAAGGTTGCCTGAGGTGGTAAATAACATTCAGGGCAAATAAGAGACCAAAAATCTTAAATGAAAAGCAGAGGGATGAGATTTCCATAAGATCTTTAAAAACCTCCAACATATTCCTGGAATCTAAAAGCCCACATGCAAAAAACGACAAAATACAGGAAGACAAAATTGGTTACTAGAGAAAAGGATATTATAAAGAACAGAAAAATCAATGAATCCAAAAGTTGGTTCTCTGAAACCCTAACAAACAAAATAAGCTTTCAGCTGTAGTTAAAAAAAAAAAAAACCAAAATCCAGAATGAAAGGAAAATCCTACTATTGACCTTATAGAAATAAGGATCACATGGGTTGGAGATGTGTGTAGCTCAGTGGTAGAGTGAGTGCTTAGCATGTATTAGGCCCTGAGTTCAATCCCAATACACATATACAAGACTTTAACAGAATACTATGAATTAGTGTATACCAACAAATGAGATTAGATGAAACTGAAAAATTCCCAGAAATACACAACTACTAAAATTGATTCAAAAAGAAACATGAAATCTAAATAGCCAGAAAACAAGAAAAAAAATTTGAATTAGTAATCAAAACTTACCACAAAAAAATAAGCCAGAACTAAATGGCTTCATTTATATTGAGTTTCCCAGGGCTGCTATGACAAATTATCACAAGCTCAGTGGCTTAACATACAGAAATTTATTCTCTTATATTTCTGGAGACCAAAAGTCTGAAGTCAAGGTAACAAGATGTCAACAGTCATGTTTCCTTCTGAAAGCTCTAGGGAAGAATCCTTTCTTTCTTTCTTTCAGCTTCTAGTGGCTCCTAAAATTCTTAGCATTGCTTGGCTTATAGGCGCAAAAATCTGATCTTTGCCTCCATCTCTTCACAAAGGATTTTTTTTTTTTTTTTAAGTCTTTACACTCTTCTAAGGACATGAGTCATTAGTTTTGGAGTCCACTCTAATATGATCTCATTGTAACTATACCTACAAAGCCCTTATCTCAAACAAGGTAACATTCTGTGGTTCTGGGTGGACAAGACTTTTTGGAGGTGTGGGGAGACACTATTCAATTTACAACAGATGAATACCAAAAAAAAGGTGAAATTAACACCAACCATTCTCAAACCCTCCTTAAAAAAAAAAAAAAAAAGAGGAAAGAACATCTCCTGAGTCATTCTATGCAGCCAGTATTACAGTGATATCAAAACCAAAGATATCACAAGAAAACTATCAACATTGCTTCATGAATATTTATACTAAAATTCTAGAGGAAATGTTAACAAATCCAGCAACATATAAATCATGATCAAATGGAATTTGTCACAGGAATGGAAAGCTGCTTCAACATGTGAAAAAAATCAATCAATGTAATACTTCATATTAACAAAGTTAGAGGACTCAATTACTGGCTTAAAAACTTACAACACAAACATAACAGTAATCAAGACAGTGTGGTACTAGCGTAAGGACAGACATACAGAAAATGAAATAGAATCGACACACCAGAAATAAACCCACACAATCATGGCCAATTGGTTTTTGACTAATGTTCAAAGGTAACTCATGGGGAAAGTATAGTTTTTTCAATAAATGTTGATGAGACAAGTGGATATTCATAAATAAAAGACTGAATCTGGACTTCGACCTTACAGCAAATACAAACTAACTCAAAATGTATCAAAGACCTAAATATAGGAGGGAAAATTGTAAAGATCTTAGCAGAAAATATAGGTATGAATCTTTGTGGCCTTGAATTGAGCCAATTCACAATTAAGCCACATATTATGTGATTCCGTTTATATGAAATGTCCAGAACAGGCAAATCCATAGAAAAACAGATTAGTGTTTGCCTAGAGCTGAGGAGAATGAGGAATGACTGCTAATGGATAAGGAAAATGTTTGGGATAATGAAAATGTTTTGGGATTAGATAGATATAAAACCTGTGACTGTAATAAAGACCATACTTGTTGGTGAATTAAAGATATAAGAGTTATATTTCAATTTTTTAAAATGTGACACACTGATCTGGGAAACACGTGGTTCAGCAACCTCTAGTCTTGTGGCCCAGAGAAAGCAGTGCAACCTCTTTTCTTTTTCTAAAAAAAAAACAAAAAAAAAAACTTACTATCCCACTTGAAGTCCAATAGCTAAGCACAGGATACCTTCTGTTTCTGGGGTGAGCCAATTCACCCCTCCACAGCTCCGCAACCTGAGGAGGCTGCTAACTGACCCAGATCTGCCATCCAGAAAGTGACAAGTAT